ATCACGGGAATCTCCACTGAAAGATGAGGAATGTTACTCCATGTGTTATTCTGCTGCTAGGGTGATATCACCCTGTCCCTTTAAAGGCCCTTTTTTTTTCGTGCTTTAGACACCAAGGTCATTCAGAGTGCAATTGCATTTCTGTAGGTTGGCAGATGCTTATAAATCCCTGGCTATTCCTCAACACAAGGTCCTTTGGGAAAAACAGCATCTTAAATTTTGTCACAAATAAGGCCACATACACTTGGAAGACCCACCATTCACAGTTATAGTTTGCATACAGCACTGCCCTGTCAATAATCTGTTTACTTTCCCTCATTAATGTATCAAAATAAGACAGAAGAGGCCATTCAGTCCATCGAGTCTGCCCTGCCATTCAACGAGATCATGAGCAGTCTGATAATCTTCAACTCCACTTTCCTGCCTTTTCCCCCCTCCATAACTGATCATATAATCAATGACCCAGCCCCGACAGCCCTCTGCACTAAATTTACCAAAGCTCCTCCAACAGCACTTTCCAAACCCACAACCTCTTCCTTCCAGGAGGACAGGGGTAGCAGATACATGGGAAGACTGAGGGAGGTGACGGTCCAGTGGTATTATCACTAAACTATTAATCCAGAGGTAATATTTTGGGGACCTGGGTTCGAATCCCGCCACGACAGATGGTGGAATTTGTATTCAATAATAAGCCGGAGTTAAGAGTCTAATGGTGGGTCTCATGGGCATCACTAGATTCATCGTCTAATGATGACCATGTAACCACTGCCAATTGGATCACTAATGCCCTTTAGGGAAGGAAACTGCCATCCTTACCCAGTCTGGCCTACATGTGACTCCAGGCCCACAGCAAAGTGGTTGACTCTTAACAATAGATGTTGGCTGGCTAGCAATACCCATGAATGAATTAAAAATGACCACCTACAAGGTCCCCACCCCCACTCACCATCCTGACTTGGAAATATATCGCCATCCCGACTTGGAAATATATCGCCATCCCTTCGCTGTCGCTGGGTCAAAATCCTGGAATTCCCTCCCTAAAAGTATTGTGGATCAACCTACAGCACGTGGACTGCAGCGGTTCAAGAAGGCAGCTCACCCCCACCTTCTCAAGGGGCAATTAGGGACGGACAAGTAAAAAAAAAAATGAAAGACTATGGACGCTGTAAATCAGAAACAAAAACAGAAGATGCTGGAAAAGCTCAGCATCTGTGAAGAGAAATCAGAGTTAACATTTCGGGTCTGGTGACCCTTCCTCAGAAATGGCCGATAAATGCTGGCCCAGCCAGAGACACCCACATTCCACAACTGAATACAAAAAAACACAGAATTCCAAAGATTCACAATCCTCACACATGAAATTCCTCCTCATCTCTGACCTAACTGGGCCACCACCTCTGGTCCTAGACTCTCCCACAAGGGAAAACAACTTCTCCACATCAAACTGTTAAGTTTTTTTTTCCTTTATTCATTCACAGGATGAGGGCATCATTGGCTAAACCAGCATTTATTGCTTATCCCTAATTGCTCATGGGGCAATTATGAGTCAACCACATTGTTGTAGGTCTGAAGTCACAGACCAGGTAAGGATGGCAGTTTCCTTCCCAACGGGACATTAGCAAATCACATGGGTTTTTCCTGACAATTGGTCATTAGACTCTTAATTCCAGTTATTTATTGAATTCAAATTCCACCATCTGCCCTGGTGGGATTTGAACCCAGGTCCCCAGCGCATTACCTGGGGCTCAGGATTAACAGTCCAGCGATAATATCACTAGGCCATCACCTCCCGCTATTGAAGTCCACTAAGAATCTTGTATGTTTGAGTGAGGTCTCCTCTCCTCCTTCTAAACTCCATCGAGCACAGACCCAACCTACTCACCCTCTCCTCATAAGTCAATCCCTCCATACCTGGGATCAACCGAGTGAACTTTCTCTGAACTGCCTCCAACGTCAGTCTATCTTTCCTTATATTGTGAACTAAAACTGTTCTCAGTATTCTAGCTGGGATCTGACTGGTTCTTGAATTGTTTTAGCAAAACTCTCCTATTTTTATACTCCATTCCCTTTGAAATAAAACCAAACATTCCACTTGCCTTCCCTATTACCCACTGACCTTGGATGCTGGCTTTTTGTTATTTATACACGAGGATTCCCAAATCTCTCTGGTCCACAGCTTTCTGCAGTCTCTCTCCATTTAAATCATATTCAGCTCCTCTACTCTTCCTATCAAAGTGCATAACCTCACAGTTCTCCCACATTATATGCCATCTGTGAAATTTTTGCTCACTCCTGAGATTGTCTCTATCCCTCTCCAGACCCTTTGTCTCATCCCCACCACTTGGCTTCCCACCTATTTTTGTGTCATCCACAAACTTGGCTAAAGTATGTTCACTTTCCTCATCCAAGTCATTGATATATATTGTAAATTACCATGGCCCCTGCACAGATCCCTGTGGCTCTCTGCTAGTTACAGGTTGCTATCCTGAAATACTAGAAATAGGAGCGGCAGTAGGCCATTCGGCCCTTTGAACCTTTTCTGTCATTCAATAAGATCATGGCGGATCTTTCCATGGCCCAGCTTCACTTACCCATCCTCTCACCCATCCTCTCACCATAACCCTTAATTCCTTTACTGTTCAAAAACCTATCTATCTATCTTAGCTTTAAAAACATTCAATGAGGAAGCCTCAACTGCTTCACTGGGCAGGGAATTCCACAGATTCACAACCCTTTGGGTGAAGAGGTTCCTCCTCAACTCAGTCCTAAACCTGCTCCCCCTTATTTTGAGGCTGAGGCCCCTAATTCTAGATTCACCTGCTAGTGGAAACAACCTCCCCTTATCTATTCCCTTCACAATTTTATATGTTTCTATAAGGTCCCCCCTCATTCTTATAAATTCCAATGAATGTAATCCCAGTCTCTCCTCGTAAGCAAACCCCCTCAACTCTGGAATAAACCTAGTGAATCTCCTCTGCACCCCCTCCAGTGCCAGTACATCCTTTCTCAAGTAAGGAAACCAAAACTGAGCGCAGTACTCCATGTGTGGCCTCACCAGCACCCTATACAGCTTCAACATAACTTCCCTGCTTTTGAACTCAATCCTTCTAGCAATGAAGGACAAAATTCCATTTGCCTTCTTAATTACCTGTCGTACCTGCAAACCAACCCACACGCACAAGGGCACACAACTCCCTCTGCACAGTAACATGCTACAACGTTTTACCATTCAAATAATAGTCCTTTTTACTGTTATTCCTACAAAAATGGATGACTTCACATTTACCAACATTATACTCCATCTGCCAGATCGTTGTCCACTCACTTAAACTATATATATCCCTCTGCAAACTTTCAGAGTCTTCTGCACACTTTGCTCTACTACTCATCTTAGTGTCATCCACAAACTTTGACACACCACATGTGGTCCCCAGCTCCAATCATCTATGTAAATTGTAAACAACTGCAGTTCCAACACTGATCCTGAGGCAAACCACTAGTCACTGATCGCCAACCTGAAAGCACTCATTTATCCCCACTCTTTGCTTCCTGTTGGTTAACCAATCCTCTATCCATACTAATACATTGCCCCATAACACCATGCACCTTTGTCTCATGCAGCAGCCTTTTGTGTGGAACCTTGTCAAATGCCTTTTGGAAATCCAGATACACATCTATTGGGTCCCCGTTGTCCACCGCGCTCGTAATGTCTTCATAAAATTCCACTAAATTAGTTAAGCATGACCTGCCTTTCATGAGCCTATGCTGCGTTTGCCCAATGGGACAATTTCTATGTGGACATCTTGCTATTTCTCCCTTGATGACAGATTCAAGCATTTTCCCTGCTACAGAAGTTGAGCTAACTGGCCTATAATTCCCCATCTTTTGTCTACCTCTCTTTTCAAACAGTGGCATTGCACTTGCTGTTTTCCAATTTGCTGGAACTGCCCCAGAGTTCAGCAAATTTTGGAAAATTACCACGAGTGCTTTTTTCGTACCCTGCAATGCATTCCATCAGGGCCAGGAGACTTGTCTACCTTTAGCTCACCCAACAGTACCTCTTTCTTTGGCTGACCATCCAACTCAGTCCCTGTTCCCACTTTCTCCCCATATCGTTTGCTCCCATTAGCCCGAAGGACTATATCTAACTCCTTGAAAACATGCACTTTGTCCTCAGCTACTTTCTGTGACAGAGAATTCCACAGGCTCCCCACTCTCTGGGTGAAGACATTTGTCCTCATCCCAGTGTTAAATGGCCTACTCTGCATCCTTAAACAGTGTTCCCCGATTCTGGGCATCAGGAACATCTTTCTTGTGTTCACCCATCAAGTCCTGTTGGAATTTTATAGGTTCCATAAGAGCTCCCCTTCCCAATCTTCTAAGCTCTTACGTAGAGAGAAATAGCCACCACATTAAAAAGGAGATGTAACAGAGCTACCTGCTTCCAGGGAACTGTACATTTGGTGTACAACACCAAGGGATTAGATTACACACAGTCACTACTGACCTTCCAGCTCCACTCGGTTTATTAATCTCACGATTGGGGGTTGGAGGGCGGTGGGGGGGGGGGGTGGAAAAGCAAGTTAAAAATAAAATCAGGAATCTTAAAATAAAGCAAAAACTGAAGGTGTGCACAGGGATCTGCAGCTGAAGATTGTAATCACATTGTGGGTTTAAAGTGGAGATTATAAAATGGGTTCAGGTTAAACAATGCTCCATTGTGTAGGAGGCTGTCATGTTCCTGATCATGGAAAGGCCTTATTGTTCTTTATTTAATTTTGATCTGTCAGAGCTCGAAACAAGCACCTTCAAACCAGCTGCCCTCTCAAAAGACACACAGCAGGAAACTGCCAGGCAGAGAGAGACACACCAGCAGGAAGGGAGATGTGGGTACACACACACAGACAGACACACACTCTCTCTCTCACACACACACACACACACTTTCTCTCTCTCAAAAAAAAACACACACATACTCACACAGGCACAATAATGCACACATGCACACTCATGTACACGTAGGCACGCACGCCCACAAATGCTTTAACACACAAGCACACAGGCGCACGCTCACACATGCACGCCGACACACGCGCGCTCATGCCCATGCTCACATACGCACGCATGCTCATACAGGCAAGCGCACACACACTCACACACGCAAGCATGCACGCCCACACACGCGCACACACTCATGCTCACAGGCATGTGCATGCGCTTACGGACACTCACACGGCCAGTCCCACATCACATGGGGCAGATCCACAGGATGTGTTAACCCATTTCGGCCTAACTCAGTGACCATGGGAGACAGCAGACCTGCAGGAGGGAATCGACAAAAGCCAGCCTTTTTTTTGTGGTTGTTGGAGGTCAGTCATCACAGCTCCAGGACCTCTCTGCAGGAGTTCCTTAGAGTAGTGTCCTCAGCCCAACCATCTTTAGCTGCTTCATCAATGACGTTCCCGCCATCATAAGGTCAGAAGTGAACAATCCTCAGTGAACATGCCTGATGCTTAGTACAGTTTGTGACTCCTCAGATACTGAAGCAGTTCCTCTCCAAATGCAGCAAGACCTAGGCCAGGCTTGGCCTAAAAACTGGCAAAAAAATACATTTGTGTTACACAGTGCCAGGCAATGACCATCTCCAATAAGAGAGAATCCAGTCACTGCCACCTGACATTCAGTGGCACTCCCATGATCAATACCACCATCAACATCCTCTAGGGGGTGGGGGTGGGGGTGGTGGGGGGCTATCATTGATGGTGAGCGCAACAGGACTCAACACATAAACACAGCGGCTACAAGAGCAGGTCAGAGGCTGGGAGTCCTGTGGTGAGTAACTCCCCTCCTGACTCTCCAAAGCCTGCCCACCATCTACAAGGTCCAAGTCGGGAGTGTGATCCACTTGCCTGGATGGGTGCAGCCCCAACAACACTCAAGAAGCTTGACACTATCCAGGACAAAGCAGCTGCTTGTTTGGCACCACATCCACAAACATCCACTCCCTCCACCACCCACGCTCAGTAGCAGCAGGGTATACTATCTACAAGATACACTGCAGAAACTCACCAAAGATCCTCTGACAGCACCTTTCAAACCCATGACCACTTTCATCTAGAAGGACAAGTACAACTGATACAGGGGAACACCAACCCCTGAGAGTTCCCCTCCGAGCCACTCATCATCCTGACTTGGAAACGTAACGCAGTTCCTTCAGTATTGCTGGGTCAGAATCCTGGAATTCTGTCCCTGAGGACATTGTGGATGTCCCCACAACACCCAGGCCACCTTTCCAACCTGAACTCAGCGTTTTTGACCCAGCCTCTTTAGCCCCATTCCTGGAACCCCAGCCAATACCAAGCCCTCTGTCTCTAACAGAGCAGCATTTCTTCTGTTACTCATTGTCCCATCCGTCTGGATCAATCCCTGCACTGGGAGCTGGAACCATGGTGGGGTGGGGCAGCGATACACACCAAGATATGGCCAAGAAGACATTCCCTTTGAACAAATCCTTGGATCTAGGGCAGGAGTGGAAGAGACTTTCCCTCAAGATTCCTGTTTGAGGAAAAGGAGGAGCTGCCTGGCCTTGTCACAGTCAAACACTGGATCTCAGTCAGGGAGTCACTTAGTGACAGGGTCAAGACTGGAAACAGAAACCTAGAACCGGAGCAGGCCATTCAGCCCTTCAAGCCTGTTCTGCCATTCAATGGCCCAACTCCACACACTGGCCTTTGGCCCCCAGCCCTTAAAATCTTTATTGGACGCTGGCCAAGAGCTTTCCAGTTCTCAGATATAAACCGATATCTCGTCAATATGGCACAAAACACCCACAACCACAACATCCCGACCCGCCACCAATGATTTCAGATGCTTGTGTGAAGGCTCACCAGCCAACAGGTGGGAAGGTTTACTTTGTGCAGTGGGGGTCATCTCAGAGAGTGCGGTGGTGGAGCCAGATCCAAACTGGGGCTTTCAAAGATGACAAGGGCCATTACCTAAAGAGGAAAGTGACCTCCATCTGGACAAGAGCCAGCAGCAACAGCGCAGGCCGAGTGGCCTCCCCTTCTGTGTTATCACCATCCTACTATTCTGTACTCCTACTCTCACCCACCATTACTCATAACCAGCCCAAGATTATAACGTTCTACAAAACCAATATCAAATAAGCTCCAACATCTGCTGCCAACAAGCTGTTGATAAATTTTCAAAAAGATGTGATAGAATTCCTCATCCTGCGCTGACCTGTACCAGACCAGGAAACGGGAACGGAATAATTAGTCAAATCAAAGAATTAGGGCAGGAATAGTTAGCAGCCCTTGGATTGGGACAGAGATACAGGCAGCTCTGGCTCAGCTCATTGCAATTAAACAGCACCTTCAAATAAAAAGATGAATTCTAAGTTTGAGCTCAGTCGACTGCTCCTCTCTAAAGATACACACTGATTGCCGCAGACTTTAACCTGGATCTGAATCTACTCTGCACCACCTCCCAGACTACAAGTGTTAGATTTGAATTAATTTTAGGAAACCTATCTGGGAAAATCTGCTCAGTTTCTCAGCTGTCCCGGTTTTCCCTCATTCACACGGAGGTATCAAAGTGTCACACAGTTGCTGGGATTATACACTGAGGGGGGTGGAGGGGGTGCATTCTGAGCCTCGATTGTTTCTGTGTCTGTCTCCAGGTCTGGACGGTGAAGTTATCGCTGTCGCGGTCACTGTCACTGGGTCCGTTTCCATCTCTCTCCCTGTCACCGTGTCTCTCCCCCCCCCCCCTTCCATGCCCCACTCTACCTCTCGCCCCCTCTGCCCCTCTCCCCCAGTCCCGCGCTGCCTCGCGCCCCCTCTGCCCCTCTCCCCCAGTCCCGCGCTGCCTCTCGCCCCCTCCCTCTCGCCCCCTCTACGCCTTTCTCCCTGCCCCACTCGCCCTCTCTCCCCCTCTACCCCTTTCTCCCTGCCCCACTCGCCCTCTC